TGAGGGTAGGAGTTGAAACAGTTTATGTCCGGGATGTGAGGGGTCTGTAAATATTTTCACAGTCCCCTTTTTGACTCGTGCAGTATACAGGTCCTCGATTGAAGGCAGGTTGGTAGTAATTCTTTTTCTGCAGTCCTAATTACTCTCTGAAGTTTGTGTCTGTCTTGTTGGGTTGCAGAACCAAACCAGACAGTTATAGAGGTGCAGATGATAGACTCAATGATTCATCTGTAGAACTGGATCAGCAGCTCCTTGGGCAGTTTGAGCTTTCTGAGTTGGTGCAGAAAGAACATTCTTTGTTGTAGCTTTTTTGATGACATTTTTGATGTTAGGTGTCCATTTTAGATCTTGGGATATGATAGAACCTAGAAATTTGAAGGTCTCCTCAAATTTCTCCTATTTCCTATCAATCCTCCTATTTTAAATTATTCATCCATTTAAACTCTCTTATTAACATTTGTATTTATATAAGGAAACATACAACAATCTTTCTTGGTTACACTTGAGAATTATCTCTTTTCCAATCCTTTGGCTTAGTCATTTGTGAACCTGTTTCTACTGTCTAGTTTTTTTAAGTGTAGATTTTTATGACTAGTAAAGAAAAAATATTTGCCGGTTTAGGGTTTCTTCTTATTCCATTATAACCATCATGATCATTATTACTTATAGAAGGAAGTGTCTACTACTTTTTCAGAAGGCTATAGAGGGTATGAGGGTTAGGCTGGGCAGTTGTGGGAGTTGAAGTCACAAAGCTCAAAGTTGCTGAGGTTGAGACACACTAACTCAGGCGATCAATGTCTCCCATAATCCTATTGATAAACTATGGACTGGCAATCCCAACATAGGAAAAGGTCGCTTTTTAGAACAGGGAGGTATTTCAAGCAGCTTTTACTGGCTTGTTGGAGGATGAAAGAATGAAGAGCATGGTGGAAGAGGAAAACATGCATTTCATTATTTTCCCAGCCAAATTTAGTTAAGGGCTGTTACAAAAGTACACCGGGCCAGTAGTAAGCATCATTGGACACAGATCGGGCTAAAAAGATCACAACGAAATAAAACCTCCTGCTTGTCTTTTCTCGGGCACCAGCATCTCCTTTGCAGAAGAAACACGTTCCGCGTTAGGGATGTTTGTGACAGCTTGTGCTTTTATACAGTTAGTACCGGCACGAGAGGGATCCGGCGAGGAAAATCGCCGGATCCAGAGCTGCCTTTAATTAAGATATTAGGCGGGCACTGGTTCTTGCTTGCCCGCCCTTTTACTCTTCCCTCTGGCAGACAATCCCAACGGTGCCTTAATTGCCGCGATTTGCTTGCTTTGTGCCGGTGACCCGAATGGCGCTCTCCAGCTAAAACTTTCTTTCAATCCAAAGCAATTTCAACTGGATCTCTCTCCCCCCCGCTCTCTCTCACACACACCCTCCTTCCCTCCCTCCCTCTCGAACGGGATCTCTCTCTCCCTCCTTCCTTCCCTCTCTCTGGAACTGGATCTCTCTCCCCCTCTCCCTCTCTCTCCCTCTGGAACTGGATCTCTCTCCTTCTCTCTCTCTCTCTCTCCCCCTCCCTCCCCCCCTCCCTCTCCCCTCCCTCCCTCTCTCTCGAACTCTCTCTCTCTCTCCCCCTCCCTCCCTCCCTCCCTCCATCTGCGCCCTTTCTGGGACTAATTTCATTTGTTAATTAGTTGCGAACAGCGTCGGCCCAGGGTAGATAAGCACACCATTAGCACTGGGCTTCGGCTAGTCTCCAGCAGAGCTGCGGCGACCTCACGCCGAGTCCGGGAGATGCAGGAGGGGCGCATTGCTTGAACCCCTTCCCCCCCTTCCACAGATCTCGGCGGGGACCTTTCATCCCTCCCGCGGTAGCCACAACACAGAGCTCCGGGCTGAGGACTTTAATGAGGGATAGGGCAAACTCAGGGGGAGAAGGGGATTTTTTTTAAAAAAAAATATTTTAAATCTGCATCGCGTCCAGGCCTGTGAACCGGGAGAGGAAGTCGGGGAACTGAGAGGGAGCGCCCCTAATTTTTTTTTGGTCTCTTTACATTTAACACCCCCCCCCCCCGAAACTGCCCCCTGTTTGTCGACCCGCTCCCAACTCTAATCCCGGTGGTGAAATTGCTCTGCGCCCAGCCCACAGATGCCCATGAGGTATGTGTAGGATCACAAGGCTCACCGTCCCCAGCCAGCAGGCCAGGAAAGATGACCGTTGGAGACTCGCACAGCCCAGAAGCTCGGGATGAGGCAAGCTAGCAGAGAGATTCCTTGAAGCCCTCGTCGATCCGTTAAATCTACCCCGCCGTCCAATGAATTTCGACATATTCCTCCTTATATACACATCCCCCCCCCCCCCCCCCCCGCTTCCATGGGACTTAAAACCCTTTGGCCTCGGGCGACGTCAGATTATAGGTGGAAAACTGAGCTGTAAATTTCTCACATAAACCTTCCCAGGAGATAAAGGCGCTCAAATAAAGCTTTGTTTCTCTCCGCCCCACAAACTTCGCAATCCACCTTGAGCAATGTTTGTACGTGCTTGCTTTAAGCACCTTTGGCCCGGTAATCGGCGAGCCGCTGCGATTAATCAACCCGTTTCAAAGGGGCTTGCGTGTGCATTTAAAATCCGATTTTTATCCGGTCCTGCCCCCTTCGGTTATGCTCTGGTGGCGAAATAGAGAAGCCCATTGATTTAAATATCTTGTCAGAAGAAAGCTTACTTTCCACACACACACACACCGATTTTCTGCAGTTATTTGAAGAAAGAGGGAAGGAAGACGAAGAGGAGGGAAATGGCCTTTATTGCGTGGCTTTAAAATATCAATTCGTTCTTATATTTATTCTTTGAGTAAAATTTAAAACCTTAACGTTAAGACTTCAGGAAAGAAATTTAGGGCCCCTTTAAGCCAAACAGAATGGAATGGGCTGAAAAGCATGTTTGAAAAGAGATAGCCAAATCATGCCCTAGGGTTCAACAAAAAAATTATGATTTCCACAACGTGAAACTAACCCTATTATTAGAGTTCATGCAATTATATTATTAATGATGACGTTAATTCGGGTACTTCGCCCTTACCAAAAGACCCGAAGTTCACCTCTATTATGCTTTAATACATGAATGGCATTTAATAATGACATTTACTTCTTTGCATTCACATGGGGCGTTGACCTATGTTACCACTGAATCCGTTTATTTTATTATGCAAATTTAATGCACCCCCCCTTGCAATCAACTCTGGGAGGCAAACAAAAATAAAACCACATGCAGAAGAACAACAGATTTTCTTCTCGAGTTTTCACATATTATTCAAACAATTGATTAACAAAAAGGTCTAGGATTTCCCCTCCTCCCCCGCTCAAACCAAAGTTATAACTGAACAAGTTTCATAAATTATGCAAATACAGTTGCTTGGCCCTATGAACGATTCTGTCTAAGCCTGTGATGTGAATACAATCACAGAGGAGCCTCCCCTACCCGTGTTTACCGCTTGAGGTTGCTCTCATTTTACTAAAATGCCTAGTTTAGAGGATTACACTCGCAGCTGATTTTCCCGGGCAAATCGATCAGTTTGTCAGCCCCGTAGAGCGACCAATGTCAGGGATTGATTGACATCCCTTCGCTGTGCATTTCGAAGGGCATGGGGGAAAAATCACTTTCGTGGGAGGCAATTCGGTCATTTGGACTTAAGGGGGGGGGGGGGAAGGCTCAACTCCGTGACATATATCACAAGTACAAGCACATGTCCTTGAGGTTCATGATGGGCAGTATGAGTTAAAGAAATATACTGCCGACTTGCTTTTTTCCCCCCCTTCTCCCAAACGGGAAAGCTTTTCATAAATAAAAAGAAATCAAACGCGCCTCTTCTAATTTATACTCTGTTTGGAGTTGGTACAGGTTTTTTTTTTTTTTTGGAAAGGTGGGCTATTAAAAAATCGAGTCATTAAAACGCGGACGCCAAACGTTTACGCCTCTGTCTAAACTCTAACGGAACGTCTGTAAGTGACGCTGCGAACGAAGCCTGTCAAAACGGAACTGTTTGGTCGTGTGAACGGGATGCAGGTCTATAACTACTCGCCAAAACCCAGGGCGGCAAAAACCATAATGCATACATGGAAATAAACACTCGGATAAACAGGACTTTTGGAAGGTCCTGAAACGAGGCTGAGAAATGCCACTTGGTTTCACTTTCCCTCCGGCTTTCCCGCACCTCTCCACGGGATCGATTTAGAAACAGCGACTGGGAAAGACGCGGAGGGCAAACGTCAAGTCCCCTTGGGACCTTAGAGAGCAATGTCCTTGAAGGCTCCTTATCTTTTTGCCCGTCCAAAGGCTTCGTTTCCCCTGTTCTGCCTTCTCGATGATCGATCACGCAAGCGGGATATTACTTTCCCTACCGTCCCGTTCCATTCACGACTGCCTTTGGGAGGGCTACACCGTTATCGAGCTCCTGCCGCCTCTGGCGCCCGGAGCCCCCAAGGCTGCTTTTTCTGGGAGTTGTAGTTCTCAGTCCCGTTGTGTTCTGGCCGCCACCTGTGACCAGAAGACTTCATTTCCCAGCTCTCCTCTCTGCTGTTTTCCCTCTTCCACTGGCGAGGCCGAGCCGTCAATCAGCTGGCGTCACAATGAATGTAGCACACTTGGAATTTTTTTATTTTATTTTTTTGGAGGGGCGTATGTAAAAACTCTCCTTTTCCCTCCTCATCGCGGTGTACCTAATAATAAGACTTTGAGGGCGGGTTTTATAAAGGCAAGGCAGGAGGCAAGTGTCATGTGGGGCTTCAGCTCGCCTCGCCGAGGAGTGGCGAGGCAGCAGGGCTGAGTGAAGACGAGGGTTTGGTCAGGGTCTCTCTCTCCCCCACCTCCCACATCTGTCCCTCCGTCTGTCGGTCTGTCTGTCTGTCTGTCTGTCTCCTAGTCATCTGGAATGGTGCAAGCGAGCCCGGGGCGAAGCTGATCGCGAAGGCAAGGAAGAGCCCGGCCAGGAAGAAATCCGCGCTGGCGCTTGCAGGGCAATGAAGCGGCACAAGCTGGCCGTGGCAGCTGGCTTCTGCCTGTCCTTCTTGCTGGGCACTTTGCTCAACCTCTTCTTCATCCCGGCCTTTGATCCCCTTCAGCAACACCGGCAGCAAAAGGCGGGCATCGCGCACTCGCTGGCGGGCTCGCCGCGGGACAGGTCGTGGGAGGAGGAGGCGGCGGCCAGGAGAAGCAGCGGCCGTCACCGGCGCTGGGATTTAGCCCGGCAGACCCGAGAGCGCTACGAAGAGGTGCTGCGCTATCAACAGAGGCAGCAGCCCGGAGAAGCCGGCGGAGCGGCGGGAGACGCTGCTAAAGCCCGGCCGGCGATGCGACCTCTGGAGAGGCGGCTCATGGATCTGGCGCCGCCGAGGCTCTCCGCCTCGCCCACTGACCGCAGCCCACGGGGGCTCCAGCTCAGTTCGGCCGGCCTCGTCGCCTCCGGGGAGCCCTGGGTCCCCGAAACCAAGCTGCAACTCTCTCTCGGGCCGCTTCGGTTGGGCTGCCGGGACATTAGCAACGTGACCGAGGTCCATTACCTGGGCTCCGGCTACACCAAAGCGGTCTACAAAGCGGTGCTCAACCAGAGCCTGGCGGTGGCCTTGAAGTCCGTCGATTTTGGGGGGCACGACATCGACAATTGCGTCAAGCTCTATGGGTCCCTGGCAGACTGTTACAGGCTGGCCTCCTATAAGATCGTCAAGGAGATGGTCCTTCTGCAGCGGTTGCGGCACCCCAACATCCTCCAGGTAAGTAGGGGGATCCCTGGTCTCTTAGGGGCTTCCGATTTGTGTAGACTTGCGCGGCCCAGGCGGCGAAAGGTGAGTTTAAGATTCAAACTCCGAATGGGTTGCGTTTTCCCTTAAGCGGAATATTTTAGTTCGGGCGCACACAGAATACTTTGCAATACATTTGGAAGAAGAATTGGAAAGGGTGTGGGGAGGAAGGCGAGGGTTGTTTTGTTAGCAGCAGACGGAATGATTATTTGTAGCGATCACAAACGTATTTCAGTTCTGTTCGCTTCCACCTGATGTATTCCCTGGTGTATCAAAATTACCGGGACATGTTAAACTAGGCTTTACGGCTGGCCGCGTCCGATTTCTTGTTTAGTGGGGGGGACGAGATGTTGCAACCTATTGGGAAGTTGCTATAAAGTGAGCTGAACTTGGAAGGTAACGTAGGATCGTGTTTCAAGCAGTTGAAATCAAGGCTAAATCCGGAACAAGATTTAGAACTGAAGAAGGCTGTTTTGGCTCTTGTCAGAGGTCAGATGCCTGAGAAAGAGTTTGCGGAAGGATGAATACTGTGGTGCCAACCTCACCATCTTAAGGCCACAATCCCAAGCACTTAGAACTTTAAAGCATGTATAGATTCCCATGGAATTTATTTCCATGTAGATTCCCAATTGTAATGGGGAATGACATCTCTATGAATGAAGGTGGAAATCTTATACACACCCCTGGCAAGCAAATCCTGCTGAATTTTCTCCTGAGCAAGTGAGAAAATTGCATGACGAACCTGGCCAAATAGTTATCTGCTTAAGTTATCTGTCTTTATTTTTAGACATGCATAGTTGAATGGTGCTATGACGGACAGGGTGTTTGGGGACACTGTGTGAAATTTTCCTGTAAATTGGAAGTATTGATTCAGTGATGAGAAAGCTGGTAAAACACATAGTCTGCGTAATTGGACAAAATATGTTGTCACTTGCAAACTCTTCAAATTGTGTGTGTGTGTGTTAGATACTTGTACATCAATTAGGTGTGGAATTTGGACCTAGCTATTATAAATCTGGCAGGCCATTCTGTGAGTTCAAGACAGGGAAGTGCTGTAATTATGTAAATGTGCAAATTTTTACAGCAAAATGAAAATGAACTGTGGAATACTCATCCAGCTCTTTCCTCCTGTCTGCATTCTGAACTGGTGTAGGTAGGCAAAGCAGGGAGCTAATATACTGTCAGCAATTCTTGGAATTTAATATTCTCCCAAATCATTATGAATCTTAAAAAATGAGATGAAAACTTTGTTGCATATTTTCTCTAAGGATTTAATAAGGCACAGGAACATCTACAACTCTGGGCTCTGGATTAGAACTTGACCTTGTTTCATTAGAAATCAGAATTGCTTAAAAAAAAAAAAAGCTTGAGTAAAATTATGTCTTTTTTTCTCCCAAAGGCAAACCAAGGGTCATTTAACTCTGGTTTCCACATATTGAATCATACTAATTTGAAGAGAAGTTCATTGGTCAACTGCTTAAGGACCAATGTATGAAATTAAATTTTGAGTGTTTTCAGTTTTAGCAGATTTGGAAATCATCCTACCCAGAAATGATGGATGAAAAAGCAAGGCAGATGTCAGAATGGGCAGAGGTGGCTAGAGAGAGCGACAACTCTCCTCATTCTTCATAAACAGCAAGCAAAGCAACCAGAAGCCAAAGTTTTTGTTAGCAATCTTTTTTTTTAACTCGAGGTGTTTATTTGTTATTAGGGGTAAATCACTCTTATCAAAAGTACAGACAAGTCAATCGATGGAGCTTGACAGCCAAAATTTCTCCCCCCCCCATTTCCTCCTCCTTCAAACTGAGTTTTATATGTTTTTAAAACAAAGATAGTCTTTCAGATTCAAATTGACTTGCAAAGTCTCCCGCCTCTGGCATTGTCCAGAATGTCATTCACTGGAGGAAAAAAGCCTCCCCCTTTTCGTTTCCTCTTCCCACTTTCTTATTTGACACTGTTAGACTTATGCCTGGGAGTAATCAGGGTATTGTTTTTTGTTCCAAAGCCTCATCTTAAACCAATGCTCCATTCGGTTCTATTTTGGTCATCAGAATCGTTTTCTTACCTGGTCCAAATTTTCAGAAAAAGCATACTCAATAGGAAATGAGTTCTGTCCACATGGACATAGGTGTCTCTAGATTCAATGGGTTTTTTTTCATTCTCAATAAAAGCCCCTAGCCTAGAGGATAACTTGATGAGTCTTTTCCCTCTCCTCCTCTCCTCTGGACTCCACCCTATTTCATCCTAAGTGATCACCTTCCTCCTAGAGCTGATTTTATGTGCTTCTACTTGGAGAAAATAATTTGATGGTGTTCTTCAGTAATCCCTGTACATGGATACTGCCTTGCTCTCTGGAGAAGAAGGTGTGGGTTTCCTGTAAAAAAAACAACCCACTTTTGTTTTGCCTTTGGTACATGAAATTAAAAAAAGTGGATGAGAAGCTCTTTTAAGTATTTCTTGTAAGCTTGTCTTTCCAATCCTGATTCTCCCCCTTTCTTTTTTGAGTGACTTGATAGCCCATCTATGTAGTTGCTTCCTTTCAACATCTACCTCTCTTGCCACTTCAATTGTAGCTTCCTTGATTATGCGCTTTCCACACACAAATATACCCCATCAATTATGGAATAATTCGTTTAAATAATATGAACCATATTTGCCTATGAACATTTGATTGTGCTTGTGAGAAAGCCAAAGCAAAGTATGACTTCCTTGACTGGGATATCCTATCCACAGGAGGAAAGATGTTGGAAAAAAAAAAAAAGGAATGTTACTGCTCCCAGTTGACTTAATTCTGCAAATCTTGGAGGAAATTGTAATGTGGATCTGTAAAATGCAATGGTTGTTAAAAATGTGAAGAAAATTGAAGCTGAGAGATTTAGCTAATTATGCTTCCTGTCCCACACTTAGAATTTTTGGGTTTTTTTTCTGAGATCTTTGAAATAAATTTTTGAGAGGATGTGTGGAGTAAGGCAACCCCTTGGCTTTCAGTTTTGTGAATCTGTAGTCAATCTACTTCATTGTCTGAAGTGGGGTTATGGTTTTCTTTGAAGTTGTCATGAACTCCATTTTTATTCCAGATAATTACCTCTGGTTTCATTCTGCTTCATGATAGGAACCTGTAGCCCTTCAAAAATTGTAGATTCCTGTGTATTATTGAAATTTGTATTACAGCTTCTAATTTTGAAATCAGTTTGAAATGAAAGTCCTAGTCAAAGGAATCTCACTGAATCTGCTAAAATACTGAATCTGTTCTTTCCTCAGGGGGAAAAAAAGGGTATTTTAGAAAGTGGCTGAATATTCTATTACTATTTCAGCTTTAAGCTGGGTGCTCAGTGATTTTTATAGAATGTATGAACGGATCCATCTGAATATCCCTCTAGAGTTCCCTGCTGGCTAGCCCTGCTGGCTGGGGAATTCTGGGAATTGAAATCTACAAGTGTTAAAGTTGCCAAAGTTGGATACCCCTGCTCTAGACCAACATCACTGACATTTTTAACAATGGACAGCCAGATGAGTCTCAGAAATCCCTAAAAGGACACAAAGACAGCAACAGATAACCAATTAGATAACTAACTACTTCCTCCCCAGCAAGAGAAGGTTTTCCTGTTCAAGAAATTCTGTTGGGGATAGCAACAGCAATAGCACTTAGCCTTTTATACATCTGCACAATGTTTTACAGTGCTCTCTGAGCATTTACTAATGTCAGCATATTGCCTCCCACAATCTGGGTCCTCATTTTAGACCTCGGAAGGATGGAAGGAAGGCCATGTCAACCTTGAGCTGGTCAGAATCAAACTCCTGGAATGAGCAGTGAGAATACTGTATTCTGCACCACCATGAATCATGGTACCCTACCTGTGCATAAAGATAGGTAGACCTTGACTTACAACCATAATTGAGCCCAATTGATTGGTTAAGTGAGACATTTGTTAAGTGAGTTTTGCCATTGGACCTTTCCTGCCTCAGTTGTTAATTGAATCACTGCTGTTGATAAGTTAGTAACCTGGTTGTTAAGTGAATTTAGCATTCCCATTGACTTTGCTTGTCAGAAGGTTGCAAAAGGTGATCCCATGACCTTGGGACACAGCGATGGTCATAAGTATGAACCATTTTCCAAGCATCTGAAGTTTGATCACATGAGCACGGGGATGCTTCAAAGGTTGTAACTGAACAATTGTTATAAGTCACTTTTGTCAGTGCTGATATAACTTTGAACAGTCACTAAATGAACTGTTGTAAGTCAAGGACTACCTGTAATTTCACTAGATATCCCTGCCATCCTAGGCCAGTTAAAGAGCCAAATAAGTCCCAGCCTACTCAACAGTGATCAGAGAATTTTTTTAAAAAGTGTTGTGTCTAATTTTTTGCCAAAGGCTTTTTATTCATTTCATTTCCTGTAAAATTGGATTTTCACTTTTCTAATATTTGTTTGTGGGTTTTTTTTTGTTTAGGTATTTGTTTTTAAATGGTTAACTTCTATAAAGCTGCCCTAAGAAAATTTCTTTTGAAGATTGGGGGGAAATACTGGTATAAATATGACTTAGAGAGATTTATCTTAGTTTACTAAAAGTTTTCGCTCTACTTCCAAATATCTAAGACGGTAGATGTGGCCATTTCTTCTGTAACAAATGGCATGCAATATGTGAAACCCCAATGCCATGATGAGAAATTTGGCTTTTTTTCTAAATTCTGAACTTAGTTTCTTTCCTTTCCATCTTGAAGGTAATGGCAAAATGAGCTTCTACTTCCAGGCAACTAGCAATATGTGCCACTTCACTGATCTCTTTATATACATTTCTGGGAATGCCTGAAACTCCATCCTTTGACACCCCCACCTTCTGGTTTCTGATTTAATTTTGACTTTGGAGGCGGGGGTTTGGGGGCAGACAGGCTTTCTAAATAAACCCAGCCTGTTTAGGTGAATTTCCTAAAGCAAAGCTCTTAGTGTCCGGAGAAAGTGTAGAGAGCTTTCA